TCTTGAGGGACGTCTATTTCCGAGGGGGTCTTTTAATGACGATTTCCCTCAGCTGCTTTTTTTCGCACGTCGGTGCCTGGGAGAACTAACGGTTTGATTCGCCAAATCGAGGCATCTCCAGTCTTCATCTCCTCCTTTCATTTTACACATGCGCGCCATTTCATATGGTGTCTGCTGCCGAACACAGCCTTTGTCAGACTGAGCCCCCGCGACAGCCGAGGCGTGATGGAGCGGTGGCAGCGGGAGGGTGGCATGCGTACACACCCCGAGCGTGTAGCCGAGCCCCGAGCAGCTCCTCTCCAACAGCGGGGGGTTAAGTACCTTGCTCCAGGGCACTTCCATCACGACCGCTGAGGGACAACAGCGTGTGTCGGTGCTGCTGCTGCTCAGACTCTCTCTGCCCCACTGGATCAGGCGTCCAAGACAAGCTCTGTGGTTGCCAAGTTATTTTGTTCCCGTTGAACTGTAGAGGTCGGCTCTTTTTAGACCACACCACCTACAATCCGCAGCATGCAGCAGAACAGCTGATTACTTGGTGATATTAAGTGACATTTTTAAGATTTTTCAAACGGGACATTACCCTGTCTCGCGCTCGCACATTCCCCCGAGGCCAGAAATGAGCCGAGAATCATTTAGGCCGAGGTTATTATTGCCAACTAAACGATAACTGAAATGGAGAAAACATCTTTGTCAACTGAAATAAATAAAAACGGTGATGAATGGGGAACAATTGGGGGTGCAGCGATGTGTTGGTGCCGATTTCCTTAATTTTGAACGATACTTACATGTGAGGCTGATCTTACCCACTGATCTTATCTACCTCAGCGAAGGTCTAAAAATCACTCACTGTCCTCTTCTGCTCTGCTGTGAGAGGTATGACAACAAATAAACAGCATCCAACACACAGGTGGTTGACGCAGCTGCTCAATTTTTTCTAAGCATGTTACTATATACAATCATTAAAACACAAACCTGAGTCGATTGGGAATCGTGTCAAAGTAAGTAAATGGATATACCGGAGCATTATTTTTTGCAGACTGTAATACAGGAGACCCTAAATCTCCATAAAAATATCATGTTAGAGCAAATCGAAACTAAACATTTTTTTAGGCACAATTGAGAAGCTACAACTGTAAAAAAAAAAAAGAAATCAAGATGGAATCTGAAACTAAAGCATCGATCTCAGCCCGCTGGTACTGATACTGACTCGGTATCGATATCATCGATATTTTAGATCAAACTGCCCACCTCTAGTTCAGATCTAAGCTAAACTATGTTCAGCTATTGGAGTGACCCAGTCAAAGTTCACACCTAAATCCAAATGAGAATGTGTTGCACAACTTGACAATGGATGCGCTCTCCATCCATGAGGCTGAGCTCTTCTGCTAAAAAAACATTTCAGCCAGGAGGTAGGAACGCACTGTGAATATTATTGTTGAATATAACAATATTTCATCTGCTGTTATGATGCTTTAAAACATGTGTGACCTTTAAAAGTAACATATTGCAGTGGGACTCCTGAGTATTTTCTGGGCTTCCAAAGAATGAATAGCCAACAAAAATACTTTCCAGAGAGTCATTTTCTACATTAACATTGCAAGCACTAATTTTGCAAAAAGAACATATTGCCCATCCATTAATCTGTTATAACTACTGTATGCAACTTTTATTTACATTTTTTTTGTTCACATTTTCATTAAAATTATCACCGTGGTGTGTCAGTATAAAGCATATAAACTGTGAAAAAAATCAAGCTCCTCTGTCTCCTCCCAGTGCTAACTAGAAACAACCAATCAGAGCCAGGAGGCGGGTCTTAGCGCTGCAAATCAAGCATGTGTTCACACAGTTCACAATGCTAAAGCTGGCCCATCACAACATATCCTGCCACTAATGCTAATGCTAGCTGACATGGCCACCAGTGACACAAGATAAACATTTTTTCTCTAATGGTAAGTCGTTTCTCTACTAGCACATTAAGCAGCGCATGCACGAGTATGACTGATAGCGCTACGATGCTCCTCCCTGTGCTGATTGGTTGTTTTTGGCTGGCAGTCTGCTATCGTAGCGCAGGGAAGACGTGGGGGAGCTCGATTTGTTTCATTTTTATTTATTACCAAAATATCTGTCTCTTCACTTACTGTCACAACATTGTGGGAAAAAAAGCATTTTTTTTTTAAAGCGACATACTGCAGCTTTAAGAGAGCTGCAGAAAAAGACCTCCAGCTGGGATTGTTTCCAGTGAAAGCTGTTGACTCATATGTGGCTGAATATACAAATCTACTCTTTAAAAATATTTTATACAAATATCTTGATTTTAAAAGTTGAAGCACTTGCTGTGGTTCGGTTTTCAAGCTACCAGACAAACGCTTGCCTCCACCGGGCCGATTCAGGAAGCTATGTGGAAATATTCTCTCTATATCTATGTGTGTGAATGCAAGATGTGTGAAGCTGATGGCTCTTTTATTGCGGCGGCTCTCTCAGGCGGGTTAGCAGCGTACCATAAAGACCCCGGTCGACTTTGCGCCACCATCTGCTGAGCTGTGATGAGCCCTCTGCTGCAGACAGTGATGAGACCATTAGAAAGCACCGACTCACAGCAGCGCCACCGGACACACTGCATCTCCTCTTCATGGAGAAATACGGAAGAAGAAACCTTCCCGGCGCAACCAGAACCCGACCAACGTGTGCCGAGAATTCAAAACAGTCAGCTTCAGTAAAAAGAAAGAAAAAAAGTGAATCCCGCAGAGAAACAGAGATGTGTCTGGCGCATTTTGAGCGTCTGCAGTTACTGCAGCACGTTCCGGCCTCCGGAGCGTGGAAGCCTGGAGAGAATCCCTTCTCTCCATGTGGGTCTTTGTTCTTACGTCCTCTGCTGTGCACAAAATGACTTGGCGGAGCAGAAGGCGACACGAGGTTGTTCGAGAGCGGGACATCTTTGTCTCCGGCAATGCTCTGACTAATGCTGGTTTTGAAAGTTCAAAGGTCAGCACACATGTGGAATATCTGCAGTGAACTACAGAGCCTGCTGCTGCACAGGCACCAGATTTAACAGGTTGCTGGCGTTAAGATCATCTGAGGGTCCAACAAAGTCTGGAATTTGATTTTGGTCTTTTCTACGAATGAGGGAGGAAAGAGGGAATATCGAAAAATATTTGTATTTTCATCTAGATGGTTACTTCCTTCCTTATTTCCCATATTTGTTCTCGTTTTTTTGTCTTTCTTTTTTCTTGATTTCTTTTTCTTTCTTTGCTTTTCCTTCTTCTGTACTTTACCTTTCTTGTTTCCATACATAAATATATGTATTCCTTTCTTTATCCCATATTTTTCATCTTATTCTATTCCATCCTTCTTTTATTTCCTTATATCTCTCCCTGTCACATTTCCTTTTGTTTTCATCTCTTGTCTTCCCTTTTTCCTTTCTTTGCTCTTCCTTTTCCTGTACTTCCTTATCCCCATTTATCTTTCATCCTTCCTTCCGTATTTAATTTTCTTTCATCTGCATCCCTTAAGTTTATTTTTTCCTTCCTGTTCATTTTTCTCCCTTCCTTATTTCCCTTTTTCATTCTTTCCTTTATTGATTCCTTCCTGTGCTCCTTTGTCTCTCCTTCTTTCTATATTTCCTTTTATATCATCTTTCCTTCCTTTTTCTTGAATTTGTTTTCTTTCCTCATGCTTCCTTCTTCTGTACTTTTCCTTTTTCTATCCTTCCTTCCATATTTTCTTCTTTCTTCCTTTCCTTCTAGTTCCTTTATCTTCCCTTCCTAATGTCCTTTCTTCCTTCTTTCCTTCATCTCTCTTTTCATATTTCATTTTGTTTTCCCTTCCCTTCCTTTTTTCTTGAACTACTTTTCTTTCTTGCTTCTTCTTTCCCTTTTTAATTTACATTTATCCTCAATCCTTCCATATTTCCTTCTTTTCTTCTTGTCTTTTCTTTCTCCACCCTTCCCAGTTCCCTTTTGTCATTCTTCCCTTTATTGTTTCCTTCCTGAATCCCTTCATCCATCTCTTTTTCATTAGTTAATATTGTCTTGTCTTCCTCCCTCTTCCTAGTTTTTCTTCATCCATTCCTTCCACTTTTCTTTTTCTTTTATTGCTCTCTTCCTTCCTTCTTACCTTCCTTGCCTCCTTCCAATGTTTTTAGAGTGTTTGTTCCATTTATGAATTCTATGAATTTACTGCAATTATTTCTGGAGAAGCCAGACTTTACACAACCAAACATGAACAGAGGACTCTGGAACTCTGGGAATTTGGGTCTGAAAAGGACGGGAATGTGATCTGGAAAACAGCTGGAACCCAGCGGTTCTCAGAGACCGTGGGGTCTTACCGGCAGCGGACAAAGTGTGAGCGTCTTCCTTCCACGCAGCGTGATAAAGACAAAACCAATCTAATTTGGGGTATTTAATAACAGCCTAACAGTGATACATAAGCAACACATGGAGGTGCCATAAATCACCCCGGCCCGACTTCACTCTGTCATTAAGCCTTCACGGCTGCGCGTGGAAAAGAGGCATCCCATAAATCACAACAACACCTGTGGTGCACCAGCTCACCAATCAGCCACAAATCTGAACGCGGGATTATCACTATTCATTACCGAAGGGCTGAACCGTAATAAACAGCTAATTAACAAACTTGTGAGAGGATGCGCTTCCTTTTCATCCGCATCCCCCTCTCCTCTCCTTCCACCTGATGTCACAAATGAAGGCACCGCGCGCGGAGCGGAGCCCCGGCGTCGCGCTCGCCGCGGAGCGCGCGTGCCTCCCCGGTCGGGGCTCCGCCGGTAACAACGCCAGCTCGGACGGTGACACAACAAAGGCGGTCTGTGCGCGGTTCTCTCTCCCCTCCCTCCCGGCGCTCACTTTCACTCCTCAACCTTCACAAACGATCACAAAATAACACAAACTCGGCTCTGACCTCCAGCGTCCACTCATCCCGCACTCAACAGGGAACACGCACAGATGCACAGAGGAAATCAAAACAAAGCGGCGTGCGGGACTCACCACGGCTGCTCCAGCTCCCAGTCCCTGAAAAAGTCGAATTCAAAGAGGTCCATCGCCGCTTCGGCCGCTGCTGTCGATGGTTAGAATCCAAAGCCGGTGCTACGTGGTTCTACATAAGCTGCTGCTGGTGCTGAGTGTGTGTGCGTGTGTGTGTGTGAGAGAAAAAGAGAGAGAGGGAGAAGAGACAAGCGGCTGCCGCTGCCAGGAAGCTGCTACGTGGTCGAAGAGAGCTGACAGCCAGGCAGAGGTGGAGGGAGGGAGAACACACACATACACACTCTCCCCCCCCCTCTCTCTCTCTCTCTCTCTCTCTCTTCCTCTCTCTCTCTTACACACACACACACACACCTACACACACACACACACACACATGCTCCACACACAGGCATACTGAGATAGTCATTGGGAAAAAAAATGAGCTTCTTTTATAACAAGGTTTATATAACACTCATTTTGCAAAGATACAACTTCCTGAACTCCTCAGGAAAAAAAAGTAAACATCTGAAGCAGAGTGAGCATCGGGGAAATAAATATAATCAACACCATATTTTAGAAATTTGCAAGGTATGCATGCATGGAGGAGCCGCTCTCATTACATTAATCCTACTGCTAAGCTAATAAAAATGACCTTAGGAGAATTTTTCATTGCCTTTACTGCACATTCACCAACAGATTGCTATGGTACTCCGAAATAAAATCTGGCACCATCAGTTTGTCTTCAGAAGTCTCCTCATTAGGAAGCAGATTTCACCTGCGTCTATTAATCTCAATGTAAATCCAACTGTTCTGTGAAGGACTTGAAGGTCTGTTGGAGAACAAGGTTCTAGGTAGGAGTGCACTGATTTATCAGCCAACCAATTTATCATTGCCGATTTTCTTAATTTTGAGGGATCTGTGAATATGTATACTTACTTATACACCAATCATGTCTACCTCTGCAAAGGTCTAAAAATCACACACTGTTCTCTTCTGCTCTCCTGTTAGAGATGTTTGGCTGACAGGCTGGCCAATCGGGTCATGTCTGTATGTTTGCAATTAACAACAGTCACCCCACTGTTGCAACTGAGTGACTTTCTTGCTATATTTAGCAACATTTCCGACAAAAACAATTGGTATCAGCCAAAATCGAAATTGGTAGGTCAGGCTTTTTACAATGTCTGTAATCTGAAATCGACCAGAAAATTGCAATCGGTGCACCCCTAGTTCTAGGACACAAAAACAATATTCCAGGGTTTGGACATCCACCCACCGAGAAATGACCCTCCAACTGAACTGAAAGTTCAAGCAAGATTGGGTTTTAATTAAATAAGGTAGATTTCAGTCAACTACTAGTGGTGGTAGAAAGTCATTGAAAAACTATTAGAAGTTCCATTTAAAGTCCTTCTTAAGCCATTGGGACAGAGCAAACATGGTCAAGAAGGTGTTTATCAGATGATATTGAACTCCCTTGTTTAGGAGTTTATGCTATTGGACCGTCAAACAATGGGAGACAGCAAGCTCAATTATTAAGAGTGGGTGCTATGGCACTTCCGGTCTCAGCTGCCTTCAAGTAAATGCAATTAAACCAATAAAATCCTCATTTTAAACAGAACTATTCTCTTACAGGTGATATAATTAACACGGTTTCCTAAAACCGGCATCGGCATACTCCAAAACAGCGGCAGCAGCCGTGGCAGCTCAGGCACCCTAAGCAGCAGCCACCGGAAGCTCCCATAGCTAACACCGGAAGTACCTTTACTACCTGTCACTGCTTGCTCGATGAGAACGGCGTTCTGACGATTTGTGCTACCTCATCAGATTTAAATAAAGCTTACCGTAACGAAACTTCCACAGACGGAATCTATTGATAAGAAATCTGCTGAGTAAGCAAGCTGTTACGTAGCATCGGAGTACGCATGCGCGTCGTCAAAAGGTAGAACGGATTGTTGGGTAGCACAGACAGTCGGAACACCTGCGGTCATGAGGAGGACAGGAAGAGCAACATCAGGTTTTAGCAGTTTTCCAGAGCCGTGAATGTTTGTTTCTTTTAATTTTTTTTTAGAAAAGTTGAACAGACATCTCACCAGTTGCAGGTTCTTTGTCAGGGTCGCTACATCAATGGACAGCCAGAAACGAAGCTTTGAAACTGCCTGTCTTAATAATAATAATAATAATAATAATAATAATAATAATAATAAAAAAAATCTCCCCGACTTCTTCTTCTTGTTATGTTTTATGGCGGTTGGCAGATCAAATATGGTGGTGCATTACCGCCACCTACTGAACCGGAGTGTGGACAGGAGATAAACAGGGTGGGGGAAAATAACATAATACCTGCTCAAAAGTTATTTTCCAGAGGTACTTTTAATCTGATAAACTGGATAGAAGGTATAGAAATCAATGAGTCATCAGCAAACCAATGGGTTTGCCCTGATTCTCTTCTCAAGATGTCATTTGGTAAACATTTATTAATTTACAATTTTGTTGTTAAACAGTTTTATTGACAGATCAGACATGAAAATTGAAATGTCAACAATACAAATTTGTCCTCTTTTTTCTTAAGTGAACATAAAAAGTCTGACAGACAATACAAAAGCAAAACAGAAAATGACATAAATAAACAGGAACATTCTGATATGGGACTTCTATCTTATTACACCGAGGCTCGAATCAAACCCTCTTCAAATAGAGTTGCCTGCCAAGTTTTATTGAAACGTTTTAATTTGTTTACTAATGAGAACCGTATTCTTTCCAGATGAGAGAGCCTTACCAGTTCCTCCAGCCACAATTTAACGGCTTTTTTCCAAAACATCAACACTAGCTTTTTTGCTGTGATAAAGACATAAGACAATAATTATTGTTGGCATTTATTAAATTGAGAAAGCTGAACAGAAACTCTGAGTACAATCAGAAGTCCATACAGAGCCTCAGGTCTGTATGGAACATATCTGATAAAGTTTTCAATATGCCAGACCAAAAATGGGGTTAATTTAGGACACAGACAGTAAAAATGGAGAAGCATGGCTTCTTCAATATGGCATTTATCACATAGTTGGGATGTATTAGGGAAAATTTGAATTAACTCCACCTTACAGTAATGAAGCCCGTGAATGATTTCAAATTGAATAAGTCAATGTCTATAATTAGGTATTACACTCTCTAAAGTGTGCATGTGTTTTTTGACATATGCCCTGATCTGTAGGTATCTAAAATTATTGTTTTTGTAAAGAACAAATTTGGCCTGAAGTTGAGAGAAAGAGGTAAAATTACCGCCCACCAACAGGTCACCAATAGTCCCGATGCCTATACCTTTCCATTGTGCATAATCTGAATCTAAAGTGGAAGGGACACATGAGGGATTCCTTGGGATTCACTTTATGAAGCTTTATGAAGGGATTCCTTGGTAATGAGGGAGATACAGATTCAATACCAAACTGGGATTTTATCTGTTTCCAAATACGTATAGCACTGTGGATGATGCAGTTATATTGTATGCCATGGTATCTATACTTGGTGGTGACAAAATAAGAGCACCAATTATCTTTTCCATTGTGACCCACTTGGGTTGTGTGAAATTGTGATCTAGCTATATAGTAATAATGCATAGCGCACAAAAGTAAAAGTAGGATGAAAAATTTGGGAGGCCCGGTCTGCCTTTTAGTTTTGCCTGGCAAAGGTGAGCTTTGCTAATTTGGTGCACTTTATAGTCCCATAGAAATGGAATGGTTCTTAAAATGATTTCTTAAAAGAATTATTAGGTAAAAAGATGGGAATATTTTGAAACAGATAAAGGATCTGAGGGAGAAAAACAATTTTTATTGCATTCATTCTTCCCACCAGGGAAATGGGGAGAGATATCCAAAACTGAATGTTATTTTGCAGTTTTACCACAAGGGGGGGGAAAGTTAGCTTCATAAAGTGAATTAAAATCTCCAGTAGTCTCTAATTGGCGTCAGTTCACTCTTAGACCAAGTCTGAGAACCTGCCAAACTGAGAGACTGTATCTAGGACAGATGGGATCGTACACTGAAGGTTGGTTGTGAACAGTAGGATATCATCCGCACATAAGGAAATGTTATTCATTGATTTACAATTTTATTCATTAATTAATTTGTCTATTTATTTGTTTATTACGTCAGGTACAAAGCTATTCAAGTAAAAGTTGAAATGCTAAATACACAAACAAAATCTGACAACATGCAGTGCAACAATACACGTCAGATGATTTGAATGTTGTTTGATCTTCCTTTGTCACTACATGAGTCACACACCGGTACTTTTATGGCTGATGCTTTTATTTTATCCACTGTGAACTATTGATCTGTTAGCAAACATCTTCCCACAAAGCTAACTTCACAACAATCCCTGGTAATCCTCGCTCGCCTGTTTTATGCTCATTCTGTTGGTTTTACCGTGAGGTTTAGCTGAAACGCTTCCAGGACTGCAGGACAGAAATTGACCATTTTCTTCCAGTAAACCAATCTATTACTTCGTATTCATGCCATATTGTAATCAGATCTAACACTTCTACACATTTTTCCATGTTTCTAGAATCACCTGTTGATCATCACTGCTATGTTTGTCTGAATTCTTTATGAAGAGTCATTAAGAAAGAAAAACAGTCATTTGGTGGCATTCACACGTCTTTCTTTGGACATGTGAATTTTCCCTTTTACTTCTGTTATTTTGTTGTTACGCTTTAAATATGATTGTAAACATAGGATATATATTTTCAGTCACATTCATAACTGTGCTTCACCATTTTCATTGAAAAGTGGTGAACAATCAGACATGTAACATGTTTAACTTGTGTTGCTCTGTTTTCTTTTGTGTGTGAAAAACAATAGATAATTTTTTCTAGATTTTTCCTCTTTTGTTTTGAAGACTTCAATCTGTACCGCCTTAGGAAGGCAGTAGTTTTTGTTTCTGTTGCTGCTTGTTGGTCACTTACCATTCTGTGAGCGTTTCCCTTCACAAAGCTCGCACTAACATTATTTGATACTGCTGGAGTCCGAGCCGGATTTACAAGGATGTGGGCCCCTGGGCTGGAGCCAGTTTTGGTGCTCCACCAACAAAGAAAAACTTTTTTATTACTATTATTGTAAATTACAGTACATTAATAGGTAGCCCTATGCATCAGCAGACATGAATTGATGTGTGGTATGTTTAATGCGTCCCTTAGCCAATAATCTGATGTTCTCAAAGTAATTGACTGTAACGTCATCATTTTCAAATGACTGGATATTGTTTGTATTCATCAAATTTGAAAAGATGTCTCTTCAACTCGTTT